GCGTAACCTAAATGGATACATTGCTAGATACAAAACACATCTAGTGGCTAAAGGGTTTTATTAACTATCAAATATTGATTTCATAAAAATCCTCGGTCTAGTTATTAAATCGATAATAATTTGACTTATTCTGAATTTGGGTATCACTCAAGGCTGGCATATATGTCAGTTATATATTAATAATGCTTTCTTACAAAGGATCTTAACTGAAGATGTCTTTACGTAGTAACACCTTAACTTTATTCATCTTCAATGTTCAAGCTATATTTTGTAAACTACGAAAAGCTATTCATGGACTTTGTCAAGCTCCAAGAGCCTAGTATACCGAACTTGGCTCATTTTTTATGTTAGTTGACTTTACCAACTCTAAATACGATGGCTCTTTATTCTTAAGAGATGTACTATATATCTATTAGTTTATGTAAATGACATTATCATCATAGATAATAATTTCAAGAAGATCAAATAATTCTATAAGCAATTAGTAAATTGATTTTCTATCAAAGATCTAGAAACCTTAAACTATTTTCTAGGAATGAAAGCAATGTTTATATATTTTGAACTTTTTTTATCTCAAAAAATATATATTCGAGATCTATTATCAAAGATGAATATATAGAATGCTAAAGAAGTTATCGCCCTATTATACTCCACTAAGTCACTCAAGCTATAAAATGACAACCCTGCTATGCTACAGATCCCACTCAATATAGATAAATACTTGATTCCTTGTAGTATTTGTCTTTTATATGTCTAGACATTTTATTTACAGTTAGTAAATTATCACAATTCATGCACTGACTCTCTACTATGCATTGGTCAGTATTAAAACGTATCCTATGATATCTTATAGAGACTCTCAAGTATAAACTTATTCGTAAATACTCATTTCTTTATCTTCATGTCTTTGTTGATTGGGCAAGCAATATTGATGACAAAACATCTATATTAGCCTATATTATCTTCCTTAGAATAAATCTGACCAATTTGAGTTCCAAGAAATATAATACACCTGCAAGATCAACCACTAAAATTGAATATCGAGTTATCACCACCACCACTATAGAAGTCAACTAGGTCATCAATCTATTATACGAATTTGGCATCACCTCTTAATTCACTCTAATAATATACTATAATAATATTAGTGCTACTTACTTATGCTCTAACCTTGTGTTCTACTCTCGCATGAAATACAATATCATCAACTTTCACTTTGTTAGAGATAAAATTATCAAACGTCAACTACGTGCCTCTCACATCTATACTTATGACAACTAGCGGATTCCCTCACAAAACCTCTCACTCGTATAATATTTCAATCACATCATTCCAATATTAATAATTTTTAACGAAAGTTCAATCTTACAGGAGAATGATAGAGGATCGTAAAAAAGACAAATATGCAATAAAACTTTGTATTCATTATATGTTTAGATCCTTAATCAATCTATAATTTAAAAATCAATCACTATGATATATATTTTTTATATATATGAACATAATTTAAACATATAATTGAAAAAAAAAATTAATTTTATATAAATATATATTACGTTAATAAATAAAATCATTATCACTTTTATAATAAATTCTTTAATTTCACCAGGCTGCAGTACTAACTTTGCTTTCGGGTTCCTCTGGCCTCATGGCGTCCATGAGTCTTTTGGACATGGATGGTAAAGAGCAAGCAACCGCAGTCGCTCGTAAGTAAAATACATTTAATGGAGGAGGAAAAGTTGAAGACACTTCACATGTGGTGCATTAAAGACCAACTTGTTTTCTAAGGCTAATCTTTCCCTGGATCCTTTTCTTCCTTCCTGTGAATGTTCATGAACTGCAAAGTTGCAGCATCCAAATTCCAATCTATGTAATGTAATCAATACACCATCTACAAACAAAGGTCCATTATTTCTCTTCCTTTACTCTTTCCAGTTGAATCATCATCGTTATAGTTGTGAGGATGCATTGTCCCTAAAAATGATCGTAATTGCTGTCAAAAGTTTTAGATCAATTATTATATTTGTTTCTGCAACTTGAGCAGAGACGAGCATTGGAGATTTGGTGGCTGAAACTCCAAGAACAGTAAAACTACTCTCATATGATTGATGTGACCAATGAGTCCATGCACACCAAGTAATTTACACTTGTTTCCGACCAAAACAACAGGAGAAATTAGTGTGATCAGTTCAAGCTAACACCAAAGAAGACGTCAAACACGTCCCCTTAGAACAAGAATTGATCACATGCATCATCACCTGGCGCCATGTCTGGAAGGCTCTCTTGCCCATGTCCGACACTTTCATCAAACAACCATGACTCGAGCAACGACAACGGTGTTCGGGTCTCCGCCATAGACTCGTTGATCCCAAACAGTGACTCGAGCGGTTCCGGCGACATGGAGCAGCCGGAAGCACTCGAGGCCGAAGCAACGCCGGGCTTCGGTGAGCCCCTCAACCATCCTTCAAGAAGTCGAGATATGTTCTCTGTGCTCGATGCGTAGGTCGAAGGCCTGATGTTGAAGTTGTACTCAGCCGAGGAGGCCATCGAATCAGGTAGGTCATCGGACTTCTCCATGGACAAGGCCTCGCTCAGAGCTCGCTTCGCCATGTGGATGTCGGTTTGGAGACACCACTCCCACTTACCTTTGGAGATGGAACGGCAGCTCGGGCGCCCACTGCTCGTTTGTCGATCATTGCCAGTTCCAAGCTTCTTCTTCAGATGTGTATTCCAGTAGTTCTTGATGTCATTATCTGTCCTCTCTCCGGTAGATACGAAGCTATAGCTGCCCACCTGCATTCCAATAACATCGATGTCATCAATCAGTAGCCAGAACGAAGTCATGATTCATGTCATCTCTTCGTATTAAGGCTTCAAATCAATTACCTGTTGCCTAGAAGAGCTTGGAGATGGATTATAAGCTTCTCCTCCTGATCAGTGAAGTTCCCACGCTTGATCCCAGGCCTGAGGTAGTTTGTCCACCTGAGCCTGCAGCTCTTGCTGCATCTAATTAGCCCTGCCAAGGAAAGAAGACGATCTAAGTCGAATCAAGTATTCAGATCACAAGACTAGAAGAACGAAAAGGCTCACCAGTATTGGTAGGAACAGCCTTCCAATTCCCTGGACCATGCTCTTGGATGTAGGAGACCAAGACTATGTCCTCTTCTGGTGTCCAAGGTCCTTTCTTCACACCATCTCGGTCACAGCGTGGTGGTGGTCTGCCCATCTCACTCCTCTCTTAACCTTTTCCTTGAGAACGAAAACAAACAAAGAGTCTCTTCGCCACCTTTTGCTCCTTTTCTCCAATGTAGCTCAAAAGACAAAGACAACTATCTTCCAAGCTCTCCACAGGTATATACACACACCCGCTGACCCTCACAAAGACTTTGGCTGCATCAATCGTCAAAAGAAGACAGCAAGGTGCATTTACTCAGCGGTATCCACGGAAGTCGGCTTGAGGGAGGTATCCACACACTACCGCGTGCATTCAATGTGGTTGCACCGGGAAGAACCCTAATCTGACTTCTCTACTGCTTCGGATGTCGGTATCAACTACTAAAGCTTTTGTTACTGCTTACTGGCAATGGAGTTCAGGTTTTGATGGCGCAGAAAAAAACATGCAAACTCTACTTAGCCCTTGCTAGTCTCTCTTCTCATGCAAACCCCAAGAAGTCGTGTAGGTTGAACACTTGATGATGGATAGAAGTAGATGCAGCATTTAGATGCCCATCTCTTCATGTAAAATAGTGCTAGAACACAGACGTGGCAAGTCTTCACTGACACTTCCCTGACCTTCTTCAAGTGAGTTACTGTTGCTAGGAAGACTCCTAAACAGCAAGGAAGAGCAAAGGTCAACTCACAATTGTCAGAATCAAATTAATGTTCTCTCTGGATGAATATTTATTCTTTTATTTAAAGAAGCTCAAAAACTGAGGCAATATATATTTGTTAATGTGGCTCTTTTTTTATGATACCCAAAATGATTTTTTTTTTCTTTTACTTATTTAAGTAGAAAAAGAATATGAGACAAACTATTAGGAATAGGAAGAGAGAAGGCTAAACTAAATATTTTTAATTGTACTAATTTTTAATAAAACTCAATATCATTAAAAGATCCATATTGTTGTTCCCAATTTATTTAGTATATTTCAACTAATTATTTTTGTAAATTCAAGCTTAAGAAAACATGCATGAAAAACCAATGACCTAAACTTGTAAATTGCAATATGGATTTCATAATTCCCCATTGGATAAAATCTCTGTCTTCATGATCACCAAACTCAACTTAGTCTGTGATCAACAAAGGCTTAAAGGTGTGGTGATAGGGGGAAAGAATATTCACCTCCGATCATAACTTGGAACATAATCTTCTAGTCGGTAGAAGAAAAAAATTCTCAATTGTCAATAATCGATCGTCACATCAACATCGATTAACAAAAAAAATATTTTATGTTATGTGGAATATTTTCTGAACCATTAGTAGTCAAATTCAAATTGACTATAAAGCAACATGAAATGCTCCTCTTGACTCAGGACTAACTTAATCATCCAATAAATTATATTGAGAATTTACACCCAATATAGCAGCTATATTTGAGCATAAGTTAGATCTTACATTGGACATTAAATGCATGCCACAATTAACTTTAAATTCTCCTTTTATATATGAGAGAGATTATAAAAGGCTCAAGTTTAAATATGGATTAAGTTAAGAGAGAATCTTAATTTATATATTATATTATTTTTATATAACAAAGGATTTGAGTTAAGCATTGGATCACATATGTCTTATTTTTTCTTTTTTTTTATTATTATATTTTATGGTTGATTTGATGAATGTATGAATGAATAATCTTCTCAGTTGATGCTTAGAGAAGAAACTCATTCCAAGCCCTATTTCAAGTGGCCGCCAATACCACGAGATTCATTTGTGGGCTTGAAGCCCATTTTAAATGGCTTAAATGTGGCCTTACGGCCCATTTATCCCTTCAGACTATGGCTTCGTCCACCTCGGAAGTTTTAGCTCTCAACTTTTAGGGCGAGCAGCCTGAAACCCTTCCTCCTCCCTCGGGGTCGCGGAACCTCGACTATGGCGGAAGAGCTCCCGGGTAGCAACCCCCAACATTCCAAAGGCGACGAGGCTGCCGAAGAAGACATGGAAGTCGAGACGAGCCCCGTCCGGGACCAGCCCGACGGTGCCGAGAATGCGGCGGTTAATGGTGGTGGCGGCTCGAAGAGGGGAAGACAGAAGGAAGCGGCGGCCGAGGGACTCGAGGAAGGCGCTGTCTCGAAGAAGCCGAAGGTTGAGAAGAGATCCTTTGAGGAAGAAAGGATGGAGAAAGTTGAAGGGAAGGGAGAAGGGGGAGCTGATATGGAGGAGTTCGAAGGTGACAAGGCGAGATCATTTGATGAAGAAAGGATGGAGAAGCTTGATGGGAAGGGAGAAAGGGGTGAGGATTCGGAGGGGGGAGACGGTGACGACAAGGAGGCGTTCGTAGGCGACAAGGCGAGATCAGTCGAGGAAGAACGGATGGAGAAAGTTGAAGGGAAGGGAGAGGGGGCCGAGGATTTGGAGGGAGGCGGTGACGACGAGAAAGAGTTCAAAGGAGAAGAAGAAGGGGGAGGGGATTTGGAGGAGGGAAGAGGTGACGTTGAGAAGGAAACCTCCGACGTGAGCGTCGGCCCGAAGGTCTTTACCTCCTCGGTCGAGATGTTCGAGTACTTCTTCAAGTTGCTCCATTCCTGGTCACCAAATCTTGATCTCAACAAGGTCACGTTTTGGCTTTTCTGTCTCCAGCTTTTCCTATTTTTATAGAAATGCGGCTCTCTTTAGTCCGCAGTTGCCAAACATGTAGATTAAGTTGATCACATTGCTGTAGAAGATCGAGTTGAATACCCCACAAAACATTGTTATACTCGAAATTTCCAGCACAATATTTTAGGCACCCTATTGTTAGTGTCAAACTCTTTTATCCGATCCAATCAAATTTTCATACTGTTCTATGCCTAGAATTTGTAGGTGGTGCATGACATCTCCTCACATTTGTTTATTTAGTGATTACGTTGCTTATCAGTTATGTGGATGTTGCATTTAGGTTATGATTGGATTCTATTCGTAGTCCTTTATTTACTTGAATTATTGCATATATTAGCATCAATTTTCCCTGATATGTGGTGCTGTTGGGGTTTAGCAATCTAGTTTGAGGTTTCTCTATTATTAGTGGGAACTAACTGTTCTTGAATTATGCCAAGGTTTTCTATTATTGTCCTCATTGTCTGGTACAAAATAGTTTAGATTTCGTTAAAAATTTACATGACTTTTCTGTTCTATCGTTCCTGTTGTCTTTTAGTTTTTATCCACTTACAAGGGACAAATATAATTATTTGACTGTTCGATTGTGTTAATGTATAAATTTTTTTTTCTGCTATCACCTACTCGTAGATGATAAATGTTAAGAGGAGAAAAACGCGGCCTAGTCTACTAGATTATTAAGTAAAAGAAAAGCATGTTTGCACTTTGTTACCGCCTCCTCTTCTTCTGCATCTCTTCTCTTCTTTGATTCCTCCCCCCTTCCTGATATGGTGCCTACCAACGCACCATATCGACCCATACCCAACATGGGTCCAGTGCCCGAAATTACAATCCCTACTTGAGAAGAATTTATTTTACCACTTTTCTTAGCCTTGTTTACTTATTTGTTAGGGCTGCCAATTTGTCTGGATTAGATCAGAAGGTGCTCAACCTGCTTCAGATCTGTCTTTCTGGATCGATTAGTTGGCCAGAAATCAAATCAACCCAATAAGACACACATCTGGTCAATTAAGTGGGATATACAGAAAATAACACACAATGAACAAAGGTAACTAAAGAAAAATAGTTCTTCAAGGAATTTTCTCTTGCCCTAATAAACATTTAAACTCATTATCACATTTAAGGGCTTACAATCACAGAAGTTGAGCAATGAAAATTTGTTCTTGTATTCCTACAAGATCCTCCTATAATAGTACTTTTACATTCTTCAAATATGTTTCTAAGTAGCCTGACATATACCAAACCCATGTATAAGGATGTTTAGACATTATTTTTTCTTTAAATAGGACTTGGAGGTCTTTTTCAATTGCCTACGAAGATGAAAATGCATTGGCATTCCTTAGTTAAGTAGGACATCAACACTCTTGCCAAAGGAGGCTATGCCTCTCAGTGTTTGTTCCGATCCAAACTTGATTTGGGTGCAGTTAAGTATCACTCATATGGTTATGGTTATCCTGCCATCTCTTCCAATTAGGACCTGGTCTCATTGCCATGTCAAGTGGTGCCCCAATTGCCATCAAATCAAGAGTATATTTGGGTAGGGTGATGATGAACATCGTCATGTAATTAAAAGGTGTTGGTTGGACACTCCGTGTTGATCGGATTCTAGGACCCACTAGTAGGTTACCCAAGTGATGTGGGACCTAGTAAGGATGAGGACCAGCCCAAGTTGGTTATTAGATCTTGACTTTTGTAAGATTTTCTGGCCTGAGTTTTGACCTCTACGGCTCTACCATAAGGAAAAGATGTTCTCGTCAATTGGATCCAATATGAAGATCAAATCATCGCCATAGGTAAATCAATGATGCTTGAATTACTTAACATGGTCCGTCTATAATCTTTAGAATTGTCTGGTCATGATGATTCCATATTGGTTAAAAATAAATGTCATGACAAATTTCTCATTCCTATTCTTTAATCAGGTGATTCACTGGCTACTTTATGTCAGTGCAGTACATAATGAAAAGAAAGACAACTTGTACAGCCCCTTTTTACTTATTTTTTGCTGGAAGCTGCTTTCCTTTTGCAACATCAAATGGTCTTGTTACTATTATATTGCATGTTAAGAAAGCATGTCACTCTAATTGGCTTTAGTATTCCGTCCATCTAAGGTGATTCATGAAAAGAAAGGTGACTAGTACATCCCTTTTTACATATTTTTTGCTGGAAGCTGCGTTCTTTTTGCAACATCAAATTTTATTGTGATAATTATACTGTATCATAAGAAAGCATGTCACTCTAATTGGCTTTGGTAGTCCATCCATCTAAGGTGATCCTGTTGGTGTTTTTAGTAGTGTTAGGGAAAATTGTGGTACCTCATTTTGCAGTTCTCTCTGTGGTATGCTTACATGTAATTGAGTCCTAGTAAAACAGCTCTCCCACATCATTGGAACTCAAATTGTCATCTCACACTCGACATATTATGCTTTCAGTATGAGCACATGGTGTTGCATGACTTGCTGAATAAGGGGCATCCAGAGCCCACTAAGAAGATTGGAGTAGGTATCCAAGCATTCCAGGTGCGCTACCATCCGGCCTGGAAAAGCAGGTGCTTCTTCGTTGTCCGAGTTGATGAAACAATAGACGACTTCAGCTTCCGTAAATGTGTCGACAACATACTGCCCTTGCCCGACAACATGAAAGCCCGACTGTCATCGGGTGGCAATAAGGTGACGGATCATAAGAAAGCATGGAGCAATCAGAAGGGAGGCCGTGGCAATAGGGGGCGAGGAGGAAGAGGTGGTGGTGGTCGTGGCCGTGGCCGTGGTGGAAAAAAGGGAGGAGGGTTCAAGAAATAAATCTCAGCTGTTTTTGCTCATGGTAGCGGTTGACCTACTTATGTTTGAAAATCTTACCATTTTTGGACTCCCTTGGGTTTTTGAATCGAAATGTTTTTAATGGTGGTTTGTAAATTGGGATGCCTTTCTATCCTGCAATTTAATTCAAGAGCTTCAGCGTCTCCCTTAATGATTGATGTTACTTGTAAAGTTCACACGGTTGAAATCCATGGATGAGCGAGTATGATGGGATTTGGATCGGAAATAGTAGAGTTTGAGACACCCATGCATGCAACAAGGGGAACGATGTTATATACATGATGCTGTCTGTATCAATAAATGGTAATCAGACATGCAAGAGAATTGTTAGGAAAGTCTGTTGAAACATACTGTAACGGTTAGATTAGTTTTTGGCTCTTGTTTTCCGAAAGAGGAAAATATGCTATATTTGTCTTAAAACTGTGAATAGAAGAAGATATGTTGGGATGCTATTCCTAACATCCTCACTTTGTATGTCGATTGAATTGTTAATCGTAATTAATATGCCCGACGGGAGTCAACCCCACAATGAGAAAATCCATATCTTGCAGAGACGTCACCTTAAAATCCGTGATTACGTACGTAATCATGGATTTTTAAGCAAACACTAACCTACTCATTCAACAATGATTAAATCATTCTGAATATAGGAAGAACTCTTTGAAATATACTAACGATTGGTGTCACATTACCACTCTTAACTTCATCTCTTTTCTTCTTTTTTTTTGTGTTTCTGAAAAATATATATATAAATATATAATAAATAAAATATTTTAAAATCATATTGAGTATAAATAATAATAATAATAATAATAATAATAATGAGGATTACAATAATAGTTCATTGTATAAATGGTTGTGAGCTATTAATTAATTCATTTTACTTGGAACATCAAAAACATTTTTGGTGCCTATATTTTCTATTTAAAGTCATTCCGAATCTTAGAATAAGGTTATCCGACGTGATTTTAAGTATTCGGATCCACCTATATAAAAAGGATCCGACCCGTTATCTATCCTTCGCTTCGTTGGTCTCCCACGTGCGGAAGGCGTGAGGAGCGATCTTGGTTCTTACGCTAAGCCTTCCCCACCTATGCTTTGCTTCCCATTCTCTCTCCTCTCCTCTCCGAGCCGATCCGAAAGGGGATTGATGGTTTTGGTCACTCGATTCAGGGTCTGAATCTGTGCGGATCATTCCTCTCGGAATCCTATCTGACGGAATCCATGGAGTCCTCCGCGCCGCAGCGGTTCGACATCTTCCGAGTGTTCTCAAGATACTGCGGTGAGTGGGGAAGAAGAACCTTGTTGTCGTGTGGATGCGTCTTAAGGGTTGCATTTTCCTTCTTGACAGCTTTGATTTTTGTTTTTTCGTTTGTTATCTGGCGTTGTAATTTGGGGAAAAGTTGCCTTTTGTTGTTTTTGAGCATTATCGCTTATTGATGCGTAAAATTTTGTCTTTCTTATTTCGGATGGATTTTTTTTTGTATTTTGTTTCCTTTTTTTATCTCTTTTCCGGGCAAGAAGACTGTTTGGAGAATCAGGAATTCAATTGAGTGCTTCTGTGTTGATTGAATAGGACGAAGCGTGAGAAGAGATGAACTAGTGTTGGTTGGCTATGTTGTTGGGATGAACTCTGTTTTGATCTGGAAATTTTTGTTTTTATCACCTTGTTCAGGTGGTGACATACTGGACCCACTTATCAAGATTGAGGATGCGAAATCTCATCTTATATATTTTTTTAAGGTGTCAATTAATGTGCTCGAGGTGCTGGGATTATAATCCGCCTTTGTCACTTATCCTTTGCAAAAAAAAAAAAAAAAAGAGAAAAAAAAATTATTCTGGATGGGTCGGATATTATTCTTTTCAAAATTATTGGATACAAGTGGAGTGGTTATATGGTATGTTTGTTTGAATATATATTCTCAGCTAAGTTGGTGTTTCATTCTTGAGCTTTATAACCCGTTTATTGCAATCTTCTCGAATATTAGAAGATTACTTTTTTTTCTTTGCATGAAAATTTTGGTGGCAGATTTGCTTATGTAAGTGGTTCTTTTTTGGTGCTGTGTTCTCTCACGTTTAAATCTCAAAGAAAGATTTTTATTTAAGAAGCTGTGAATTATTGAATGTGCAAAGCAAGAAGAAAATTGGATTCCTGAGTATCTTTGGTCATAATCTTCTCGTGCGTTTTGTGGATTATGAGTTCTGATTGTTTTGTGCAACTCAAGATAATTACTTCTTAACTGTTTCTTCTTTTAATAATGTGGACATTGCAACATTTTTATGTAGATATTGTGTCAAGAAATCATCTTTCAAGCTCAAAGGAATTGTTAGCTACGCTTTTGACCTCTCTGGAGTACAGTGTGCTAACAAGGTTTGGCTCTTTGGGATGCTTAAGACTTTGAAAACCAAATTCATGTCATATTTATATGCACTTTTTGATAATTTTGAAGAGCTAATATGTTGAAGGTATTTTGTTTCATGTCTCATATCTACTAATGAATTAACATGTTAATTTGAGATGCATTTGTGAAATTCTTGTGAACCCGCTCCATAAAACAAGGCACCAAATACCATGCTGATGACCCAAAAGCAGAATCAAAGGAATCACAATTACCTCTAGTAGTCAATTTGCATCGGTAATCATTGTTGCATGTTTTTAAAGTTGACAAATTCTGTTTGGCAAAACTCATTCTTGATCCCACTATACAGAATTGAACATAAGATCGATACTGAAAACTTGCATATGCTTCAGCTTTGACTTCACGATCATGTGGACCTACTATGTTTCAATCACTCCCATACTTTCTGACCATTTATGAGTATATTTGTTCCATGTGGTATCTTGAAAGTTTTCTTGAAATTCTCTATCCTGTTCATAATACTTGCTTCGGTCAACCAAGCTTCCATGTTCTTGATATTTCATCCTTAGAGGATCAGTCACTCATCCATAATATGATTAAAACATTTGGTATATTAAACCTCTCCTTTGATGCTTCAGTTATTGCAAGATTTAATTTTTTTAATTTCTAACTTAAGCATTCCAAGAATAAACAATTTTGGACTATCTTATGTGATGTTCCTTCGTAAATTCTCATACCTTTCTATCTCAAAGTCAAAGATATATGTAAATCATTCATTTGACCCTGTCCTTGTGGTTCACTGGCATCATTTGTGTAGAAATGAATCCTAACAGTGTCGGTAGTGATGATCAGATGAAAGATCTAGTTTTCTTTTTTATTTTAATGAGAATATTCTTGAAGAGATGATTTTGCAAAGCTTTTATGCCTTATGCAGTGTAAATTTCATATTCCTGTAGACTAATTATTTTGTATATGCTTCACTTTCTTTCGTTCTAATAAATTTCTGGTATTTGATTTAGGGAGACATTATTCAATGACACCTACAGGCTTATGTCATGCCTTGATTTGTCTGTGAGTGCTGACTTATAAGTTATATACCCTTTGTCCTGGTATTTTGTTTGTCACTTTCATTATTGGTTTTTGACTATGATTTTGTTGGTTGATTCTCGTCAGTTCAGTTCCTTTTATGATTTCGTCTTCTTCATTTGTCGTGAAAATGGGCAGAAGAATATTAGTAAGCTCATTTTTGTGGATTGTTCTGTATTTAATATTTTGTGTTCTTTACTATGTTTAGCATTATGTGGTTTTTTTTCTTATCAGCTGTAAATAAGGCCATAACAGCATGGAGGTTAATTTTGAATGGAAGGTTTCTTATGCTAGATCAATGGTGTAATTTTGTTGAGGTGTGTAAGTACTAAGTATTGTGTGCTTGATCACCATTTACAAGTTACATATAAATTCTAATGTAGTATTTTGGCTGCTTGTTTGGTTGCTCTCAGAGATGGCAATGATTTGATATGTTATTTCATTTCTAAACTATCATCATTCTGTTTCCCAACTTTTAAATTGTAATTGTATACTTTTTCCGCTAAGGGAATGCAGTTATGAACGATGTATATGGCACATCTGTCTGAAGTGAATTTACTAGTGTTAGACATTCTACTGTTTTATATAGCCACTTTTCTCAAAAATATGTATAACAATCACTAAGATAGACCTTTATCGATGCTTCTTTGAGACACCACTGGATTGCCTCTATTTTTCCTAGATGCATTATGAAGATTGCCGGATTCAATTGTGATTGGTAACTAGAAGCATCTCATTGCATCAATGAAAAACTGTGATGGTAGCTAAGTGAGGATCAATTACTGCAGATCAGGGGTAAAGGATATCCAGTTAAAGGATACACTCTTGGAGTACATAGCACATGCAGAAAACATCCTATAGTTGGTCTTATGATGGTGGTAATGAGATTTCATTTTCTCACTGGAAACAAAGTGGTCAGGGAGATAACTAGAGCCATTGAAAATATGAAACTACAGTAAAACATGTAGGTATCGATGTAGATAAGGGTCCAAAGAAAAAACTCTAGAAGCTGAAAAGTAGGTGATAGAACACTACTATGAGGATTATTCTTTGGAGAAGAGAGAATATAATATTATAAATTCTTAGTCTCGTCTTGTAGGAAGAGTCAATCAGGTCAAAAACAACTGTGCAAGATTTGGATGAAATAATCAAAGGAATATATGAAGATAATTTCATATGGGACATAAATTGATTCATAGGTAAATGGCATATAAACTATTTGTGGATACATGTAGAATACAAGAAAAATATATAACTAGATATATAAATGTAGATTCTACCATGTCTTACAATTCCTGTAGTAGCAAATATACAATGTAAAAGTAATGTTAGAAGAGTATAATAAACTTGAACTCTGAAGTAAACAGTGAAACTCCAAAGCAATGATTGAAATTTCGTATCGTACCAAAATTTTGAGACTTATTCGGTATGGTATGATACTGTATACTAAGCGATATATTTCGGTCTATCGCTCGATATATATATATATATATATATATATATATATATATATATATATATATATATATATATATATCGCTCGGTTTACCTCTATGCGGGGTGTCGTCGCTGAGGCGACGTTGCAAATAAAAAAAAAATTGCAGGCGACGTCGCCCGAGAAGAGAAGAAAAGAAAAATCTTCGCCTCTCTCCACCTCGCGACGTCGATGCCTCTTCTCCCACGCGTGGATGAGAAGTCGTCGATAGACGAGGAGGAGAGCGGCGATCTCCAGGTTCTCCCTTTTTTTCCTATTTCTTTCTTCCCTTTCTCCCTCTTCTTTCTTCTCCCTCGGTCATCATCGACGATAACGCCTCAATCGACGACGATAATGCCTCAATCAATGCTACCGCTCGGTAGCGGGCAGTCCGCGTACCGATCTATTGACGGACTGGTACGTACCGCCTGGTCCGAACGGTATCATTCGGTATTGCAGACCTTGCTCAAAAGATGGGAATATAGTGCTTTTGAAAAGTAAAAGAAATGAGTTAGTATTCTTTCTGGAATAGTTTAACATAGTGGCTTATTTCTAAGAGTTCTATTTATGTCATTTTATCTAAGTTTTCCTTGATTGAGCTCAGAAACACCAACGGCATAATATATCTGAGGATACTTGGCAACAACTCCTGGCTTTCAGTCGATGTGTGAATGAAGATCTTGAAGGCTATGATCCAAAAGGTAATTGTAGACTAGGATCATCTCTTGGTATAATTGTGGCACCATTGCTGCCAAAATGTGTTTCCTATGTGCAATCTGAAGACATCATCAAGCAGGGATAACTTTTTTTAAAATTTTTTTAGGTGCTTGGCCTGTACTCATTGATGATTTTGTTGAGCATATGTTCAGGTTTGTCTTCTTCGCTGACCTGCTATTGATGGTTTCATCTTTTGACATAATGGTACTATTAGTCTAACATCATTTAGTGGAAATTTTCTTTTGCATTTCCATTAAAGCTGTCTGGATTATCTATCTTGACTATGCATTCAAATCACATTGCTGCCCAAGACTGGTGCCTCATGAATTTGGAGATGAGAGTTATTATAAATTTATAATGGACAAGCAGTTCTTCAATTCAAACAAGAGTTTCACATCACAACTATTGTTTTCGATTCATTATGGTTGTAAATAATGGCATAATACATGATCGGACCAGAAATTTCTTTTTTATTCCCCAGTTTTTTTCTTTTTAGTGATTGGAGATGCCTAGTTGATACCATTATGTGGAAAATTTCTTAAACAATTTAAACACTTGAACCCTGGAACTCTACTAAGGTGTTGATACTAAGAGTGGATTGTCATTTGCAAATAATCCTCTCTCTGTTTGTTCTTCTATTGATAGGGTGAATCGAACTACTGGTATATATTGAGGATCAATGCACTGTGACATGATTGATCTTGACTGTTCTAAATTTGGGAGGTCTAACAGAAAAATGAGGCTCATTATCAGGCCTGGCCAAGCTTCTCCTGGATCAGTTTCAGGATTGGCTGGTCCTGTAAACCATTGGTAAAAGAGAACATGAGTACAACGAGTTTTTATTTGAATGTAAATATCTGGGTTCTTGATTTCAATAACAGTATGGAAGGGGCTTACCCTAAATTCCAGTCAAGTGGAGCTAAATATAGACACCACTTCTGTTCTATTTTATATTCTTAGTATGTTTTAGAAGTTAATCTTTGCGGTCTGTGTGGCAATGATGAGGCAGCTGTTTAGATGGTTGAGGTTGTGTATGCTGGTTTTATCTCATGAACTAGTCTTTCGTACATTTGGTCTTATAGGGAAGTTATTGGCTTTTTATAACATTGTTAAGCAGAGGTGCATGAGTCTGGACATAAATTTCTGTTGAAAAAATGATTTTGTAGGAATAACTAGTATGAGTTTGAAAAATATTCTCATAGAAAACATCATTAGCATGTTCCAGAAGACATATGGGACTCTACATGCAAAGAAATGAAACCGAAGAGTGCATAATGATAAGAAGCCATCAAAGACACTTGTTCATAATGAGATTATGAGATCATAAGATCAGTTGGGAGCAAAATGTCCAATCTTTTATTTGAGCATGATATATGCTAATTTCAGTGTGTAAAATTGGAAGTTGCTTGGTCTTTTTTGTGATATGGTGTCATGATTTTTTGTATGAGTTAGTTTTGAGTCAGCTACTAATGACTTTATCGTGATTCTTAGATGGCATAACTCAGTTATTTCAGTTTCATGTTTTTCCCTGATTTAAATTTCTCTATTTGTTTTTGTAACAATCAGCTTGCCTGCCTATGCTTGTTTAGATGATCTAAATTCATGATAATTCATGTTCCAAAATGCAGTATCAATCAATCCAGTGATTGTGGTGCTCAAGATTTATGCTGCTTTGGTGATTTCGAAGCACAGCCTAGCATATCCAGTACTTTTAGTGGTAATAAGCCCAAACCCAGAGCAGAAGAGCAAGAATAT